TTTTTTTAACTGCTGTTTTTGTCGTTTACCAGGAGAAGCTGGTCAGACGGCGACCGCCACGCACTCTACAGCTGTCCAAACCCCAGGGAGGCGAGCAGGAGGTGAGACAGAGATGAGATTAGGGAACATGACAAAACGATGAAGACGCCTGAAACATGTTCAAAGCCAGCCGATGGTCTGGTGGGGCACTGATGTGTGAAGGTTCAGTTAAAACAAAGACTACACAAACACAAAAACAACACAAATGGCAGGAAACAGTTAAAAATGATGAAATTACTGATTTATGACTCAGAAAAAATGACAAAACTATTTAGTTCAATACAACAGATTTTTTATTTTATTTAGTCTTAAATCACAATAAAACAGAGAAACTCCATCATTCAGGCCGCCGCCTCAGAGCAGCACATGGCGACAGTGAGAAGGAAAAACTGTCCTGTAACAGGAAGAAACCTGCGGCAGAACCAGGCTCAGGAAGTGTGAAGCGCTTCTGCAAAGGAAGCAGAAAAAGACAAAAACACCTCAAACATCTTCACTGATAACCACTGTCAATGGCGACTTTCGTGCCGTGCTCCGTCCTCTCCGTGGTTTGGTCGGCATAGACCTGAATCACAGCCGATCAGGTCATTAAGTCTGACGTCACTAGCCGTGTCTGGGCCTAAACTCCGCTGCGGGAGAGGAATTATGATATTGTGTAGCTATCTTGTGCCTTGTGCTGTTCTACCATCTCGGAAAAAGGGAACTAGTAATCAGACGATCCACTCTTGTTACAATCGGCTCTTCATTATGTCTTTTACAAACTGCTTTAACAATGCCCTCAGAATAATTAATTAAATCACAAGCACCCTTCAGAGGTAACTCAAGAGCATGATGGGATATATTGTCAAAGAAAATCCACGAACTGTGACTGAACACTTTAGTTTTATACATTTTCACGTTCTTCTGGTGTGGTGACGGAAAAAAGGCACAAAAATTAAACATGACAATCGAGAGCTGAGGTCACGTTCCCGAGGAGCTCCTCGTCTGGTCTCCACATTTACATGAAGATCTACGAAAAAACGCACCTGTGTGTGTGTGTGTGAGA